GGGGGGGGGGGGAGGAGGAGTGGTCGAAATGTTCTGTGGTCACATCTTTTCTATAAGATAGCCGTTCAATTATTTCTCTGTGACACATTTCTGTTAAGGATAGCTGCGGACTTTCCCCAGTGACGCATACGATTTCTACGATGAAAGTGAAAAGTTCTCCGTCACGTCGTCCATGAGGATAGCCCGTGTCCATTGTCAGACAAGTACGTGCAGAAGATAAGCTGTTACCATTTTCTGTAAATCCTTGTTGGGATGCTTGACTCGTCAAAGCTAAGGGTGGGTTTTTTTTTGGTTGGGTTTTTTTTTTTTTTTTCCTTTACGTGATATCGGCTTTGGATTAAAAAGCTGCGGTACATGGCAACTTTCAATGACGCTTGTGTTTCCAGCCCCTTCGGTATGAGTTTAACATTGTGTCTTATGTGTTGATATTGATAATTGTTGGTACTGATATGTGTTGGTATTGATATGTGTTGATATTGATATGTGTGGATATGGATATGTGTTGATATTGATATGTATTAATACTGATATGTGTTGGTATTGATATGTGTTGATATTGATATGTGTTGATATGGATATGTGTTGATATTGATATCTATTGATACTGACATGTGTTGATACTGATATGTGTTGATATTGATATTTGTTGATACTGACATGTGTTGATATTGATATGTGTTGATATTTATATGTGTTGATACTGATATGTGTTGATATTGATATTTGTTGATACTGATATGTGTTGATACTGACATGTGTTGATACTGATATGTGTTGATATTGACATGTGTTGATATTGACATGTGTTGATATTGACATGTGTTGATATTGACATGTGTTGATACTGATATGTGTTGATACTGACATGAGTTGATACTGACATGTGTTGATACTGGCATGTATTGCTATTGACATGTGTTGATATTGATATGTGTTGATATTGACATGTGTTAATATTGACATTTGTTGATACTGACATGTGTTGATACTGACATGTGTTGATATTGACATGTGTTGATATTGACGTGTGCTGATACTGACATGTGTTGATACTGACATGTGTTGATACTGCCATGAGTTGATGCTGACATGTGTTGATACTGACATGTGTTTATACTGACATGTGTTGATACTGCCATGAGTTGATACTGACATGTGTTGATACTGATATGTGTTGATATTGACATGTGTTGATATTGACATGTGTTGATATTGACATGTGTTGATATTGACATGTGTTGATATTGACATGTGTTGATACCGACATGTGTTGATATTGACATGTGTTGATATTGAAATGAGTTGATACTGACATGTGTTGATACTGACATGTGTTGATATTGACATGTGTTGATATTGACATGTGTTGATATTGACATGTGTTGATATTGACATGTGTTGATATTGATATGTGGGACGTTCATACATTCATTACGTACTTGTTTTAAGAGCACATCTCAACTTGACCAAACTGATCGCCCACGCGACTCTGTCGTGCAGAGAAAGCTCCCGTTGTTGTTGTTGTTGTTGTTGTTGTTGTTGTTGTTGTTGTTGTTGTTGTTGTTGTTGTTGTTGCTTTCAATTTGTAAGGTGAGCGTTGGGCGGGACGGCCAAGTGGGTGTCGTTAAATCGAATTAAACGAATAGTGGAGGGGGTGGGGTGCAGGGGTAATTTGCTAATTGACTTTTTAAATACCAGTAATATGCTTCCACTGTCACGCCTTAATCGATTTTGTGATGTTGACTTAGCAACAGTAATAAGGGTTGCAGTAGTCATCTCTCGATGTGTTGTAGTAGTCATCTCTCGATGTGTTGTAGTAGTGATCTCTCGATGTGTTGTAGTAGTCATTTCTCGATGTGTTTTAATAGTCATCTCTCGATGTGTTGCAGTAGTCATTTCTCGATGTGTTGTAGTAGTCATTTCTCGATGTGTTGCAGTAGTCATTTCTCGATGTGTTGTAGTAGTCATTTCTCGATGTGTTTTAATAGTCATCTCTCGATGTGTTGTAGTAGTCATCGCTCGATGTGTTTTGGTAGTCATCTCTCGATGTGTTGCAGTAGTTATCTCTCGATGTTTTGTAGTTGTCATCTCTCAGTGTATTGCAATCAGTGTGTTGCAATCAGTGTATTGCAATCAGTGTGTTGTAATCAGTGTGTTGCAGTCAGTATATTGCAAGCAGTGTGTTGTAGTCAGTGTGTTGTAATCAGTGTGTTGTAATCAGTACGTTATATTCAGTGTCTTACTAATGCCCATGACCTGTGAAGATGCCCCTAATCAAAATCGATAGTCTGTACCAGAAAACAAAGGCGAAAAATTCCATGTCACTGTTTAATTCAACAACCCGACCACAGAGTTGATTTAAGTATTTATTGAAGCGATCACAGCGTCTTGACAACGTTGATAGATTGATCTGATCGGACAGACTGGTCACGCTGGATTGATTAGTCTGCTCGGACAGATGAGTCACGCTGGATTGATTTGTCTGATCGGACAGATTGGATTAGATTTCAATCTATTCATTTTCGACCGCATATAATTAAAAGTATTTAACACTCGCCAGTTCCCGTCATACGTCAAGTGCTACTTGACGAGACATGCATTCAAGACATACGAGACACGCATTCAAGTCATACGAGACATGCATTCAATTCATACGAGACATGCATTCAAGTCATACGAAACATGCATTCAAGTCATGCGAGACATGCATTCAAGTCATACGAGACATGCATTCAAGTCATACGAAACATGCATTCAAGTCATACGAGACATGCATTCAAGTCATACGAGACATGCATTCAAGTCATACGAGACATGCATTCCAGTCATACAAGACATGCATTCAAGTCATATGAGACATGCATTCAAGTCATACGAGACATGCATTCAAGTCATACGAGACATGCAGTCAAGTCATACGAGACATGCATTCAAGTCATACGAGACACGCATTCAAGTCATACGAGCCATGCATTCAAGTCATACGAGACACGCATTCAAGTCATACGAGAAATGCATTCAAGTCATACGAGACATGCATTCAAGTCATACGAGAAATGCATTCAAGTCATACGAGACATGCATTCAAGTCATACGAGACATGCATTCAAGTCATACGAGACATGCATTCAAGTCATACGAGACATGCATTCAAGTCATACGAGACATGCATTCAAGTCATACGAGACATGCATTCAAGTCATACGAGACATGCATTCAAGTCATACGAGACATGCATTCAAGTCATACGAGACATGCATTCAAGTCATACGAGACATGCATTCAAGTCATACGAGACATTCATTCAAGACATACGAGACACGTATTCAAGTCATACGAGACACGCATTCAAGTCATACGAGCCATGCATTCAAGTCATACGAGCCATGCATTCAAGTCATACGAGACATGCATTCAAGTCATACGAGACATGCATTCAAGTCAAACGAGCCATGCATTCAAGTCATACGAGACATGCATTCAAGTCATACGAGACACGCATTCAAGTCATACGAGACACGCATTCAAGACATACGAGACACGCATTCAAGTCATACGAGACATGCATTCAAGTCATACGAGACATGCATTCAAGTCATGCACTTTAGAAGAATTTTAATGACTCCTACCCCCACCCCCCCAACCACCGCACACTTTATTAACGGTACTGAACTCTATTCAAATGTTCATGTCAGGTCTTCTTTTTGACCATTACACATCTCCACTGACTTGATCATTACACATCTCTGCTGACTTGATCATTACACATCTCTGCTGACTTGATCATTACACATCTCTATTGACTTGATCATTACACATCTCTATTGACTTGACCATTGCACATCTCTATTGACTTGATTATTACACATCTCTATTGACTTGATCATTACACATCTCTATTGACTTGATTATTACACATTCTCTACTGACTTGACCATTGCACATTCTCTACTGACTTGACCATTGCACATTCTCTACTGGCTTGATCATTGCACATCTGTACTGACTTGATCATTACACATCTCTATTGACTTGATCATTACACATCTCTATTGACTTGATCATTACACATCTCTACTGACTTGATGATTGCACATCCCTATTGACTTGATCATTACACATCTCTATTGACTTGATTATTGCACATCTCTATTGACTTGATCATTACACATCTCTATTGACTTGACCATTACACATTTCTATTGACTTGATCATTACACATGTCTTTTACCTTGACCATTACACATCTCTTCTGACTTGACCATTGCACATCTCTACTGACTTGACCATTACACATCTCATCTCTATTGACTTGACCATTACACATTTCTCGAACTCTCCACAGCATCAGAGATTGTTGTTGTTTTTGTCTCAAGTGATTTAATCACTGACAAAGGAATCTTGCCGACTCGTCCGTTGTTTCCATGTTTCGATGTCATCAGTTGTTCCCTCCCCTGTATTACTTATTCCTGTCAAATACAGAGTTAGCCATATACAGTTTGCCATACAGAGTTGGCCATACAGTTGTTCATACAGGGCTTTGCCATACAGAGTTGCTCCTTACACAGTTGCGCCTTATAAAATTGCCCCATAACCAGTCCACCGTTGCCCCACACAGAAGCACCAGAGGTTTACATGTGCTGGGCACTAAAAGAGTTCATTTAAATCAGGGATCTCAAACTCAAATAATCAAGGGGTCGCAGGAGGTAGATTCTGAGTGAGACTGTGCGGCATCAAATTTCCACAAAAAAGTTAATAAAAATTCATTAAAGTGTTACAATCATCTCAACCTTTATTAATAAATTAAAACATTAAGGGTTCTCAAGAACTAGGCTTCGATTTCTTCCTCATACTCCTTTGTGCCAGAGACCTGGCAGCGCTTGTTCTTACACAGCTGAGCAACATTTGGCTTGAGTTAGGAAGCAACTGAGCACCTCGATATAGCTTAAAGATTCCCATCAGTAAGTTTGGCCCTGAACTTTGACTTGTTAAAGTTTATAGTGGGAAAAGAGCTTTTCACACATATAGGTACTCCAAAAAAGGCTCATGATCCGCTTGAACAACCTGAAAATTTCAGAGAAGGTGGAAGGCAATGCTCTCATAAATTGTCCATGCTTGTCTGTTTTTCCATTCACCTCCCTGAACTGAGGATCAATCAGCTCCATTTTAAAGGCCAAAAAAGGGATGGATGGGGTAATCTTCCACATTGAAGGAGAAAGGGTCAGCAAAACGTTTTAAAAAATTACCCTGTGTGTTTTGAAATTTAAAAACATGTGACCAAATTCTTCCGTGGCCTTGCAAAGGCATCAGTACACTTACTACTTTGCATGTTCGGGAATGGCAGAGGTTTCCCTAACACCATAAAACCATAAGTTTTGTGCAGAAAGCCCTGACATTGGCATAGACACCACTGACATGCTACCCCTAGTCTATTCACTTCTTGTTGAGTACATTCAGCTCCTGTGTAATGTCAACAAGGAAAGCCAAGTCCATGCACCATTTTGGGATCAATTAGAGCAGGCAAAACCACTCCGTCCCCCTCCATGAAGGCTTAATATGCTAACATGTTTTCAAAGAGTAGGCAGGAGTAGGCAGGAGTAGGCAGGAGTAGGCAGGAGTAGGCAGGAGTAGGCAGGAGTAGGCAGGAGTAGGCAGGAGTAGGCAGGAGTAGGCAGGAGTAGGCAGGAGTAGGCAGGAGTAGGCAGGAGTAAGCAATATTTATGAATTGTTGATGCGAAGGAAGATGCTATTGTAGGGAGAATGAAATTTTTTTTTATCGTAGAAAACGCCTTTTTGACTAACCCTATGTTTAAAATGACCAAGCTGACAGGCTCGGAATTTCCCTCACTCGTAAACACTAGCGTCAATGTTAATAGGGATTCTTTGATACTGTGTCAGGTTGCTACGATTTAAACAGTTATGGTTGTGCATTACCTACTAAATGACTTTTTAAAATTTTCTCAAAACCACACTTTGTCCCATAAAATGCTATAAAATAAAAACTTTGTGTCCGATTTTAAACGGTTTTTACCATTATAATCAACGTACAAATATATACAAGCGTAATGAAAGCCAGAATTAGACTAGTCGGTGATATTCGACTGAAACCGTCACGTTATAGATATGAGAATGGGGGAAACGCGCGGGCCACATTAACACTAAACTTTTCTCGCATGCAGCGGGCCGCAAAATATCGGGCCGCGAGTTTGAGACCCCTGATTTAAAGAGTGTCATTGTCGCGTGAGACTCCTCTTTTAATAACCAGTTGATATTCTACTTATCAACTGCTAAAGAGATAAACATCATTTTTTTGTCTTTAACTCTTTGCTTATAAATACGTCATTTTTCATCTTATCTTCGACTCCTTCGGCGGTGACGTAATGGACCTGTCACATCGACCATCAAAGTCTGCTCGCGTGTGTAAGAGTCGTGTTTGTGATGAATGGTCCCCCCACAACCGTCTAGCGGCTTATATGAAAGCGTGTTTGTGATTTGCCTCAATCAACACAATTTTCAATAAGGGTTCCATCGATTGCTTCTGTGTTTACAGTCGACCCCCGGGGACTAATGGTAACGTGACTTGTGGACCTGGCTAGACAGTGAGGTGGGGCTGACAGTGAGGTGGGGCTGACAGCGAGGTGGGGCTGGCAGCGAGGTGGGGCTGACAGCGAGGTGGGGCTGACAGCGAGGTGGGGCTGACAGTGAGGTTAGGCATAAAATAATAGTGTGCTTATTGTGGACTTGTGCCCAGAAGCCGAGTTGTTGTTTCCCTGAGAGCAAGAGCATCTTCTTTTAATAAGCTAAGTTCGTTACAAATATTTTAAGGTATACATTTCTTGCTATTGGGTCATCTAGAATACTTTTTGTGTGTGTGTGTGGTTAAGGCTTTATACGAAAAGCTTGGTTTTAAAGGATTGTTCAATTATATAAACTACTTTATATTCATAGGGGCAAAAGTCCAAATAATGACATATTTTGTGTATGAATTTATTATTTTCCAGGGCATCCCTATCAACACGTGACATTATTTATAGCGCCAGCATCAAACCAAATACCGTAAAACACATTCTCTTTAACCAAGTCAAGATGACATCATTATGCATAAACCTTACTAATTATTTGACGCACAGAGATGTACCATATATATTAAAAATTCATTCATTCACAGCTAAGTTTCTTGTTCTTTAGTCACGTGATCTCTTAATCTCCCACCCCATCATGTTTTTATCCCATTTTTTTCCAGATTAAATCATGCAGGTTGTTTATAGCGGGGGCTCTAGCCCCTCCCCACGACCTCCCCGTAAGACTGGCTACGGGCGCCCCATACTTCCAGGGTACATGACGCATGTCCACCCCCATGTCATGGTCCACAGGTCACGTGAGAAGCCCACCGAGGGTGACCATTCCTTGCGGGACAGCATCCCTGCCATGACCCAGGGCCTGGCAGCGCTGTGCCTGGTGCTCAACATCATCTTACCTGGATCGGGTAAACTCATGATAATATAGACTTTAACATTGATAATTTGCCTGGACCAGGTAAACACACGATAATATAGACATAAACGTCGGCCATTTACCTGGACCAGGTAAACACACGATAATATAGACTTAAACGTCGGCCATTTACCTGGACCAGGTAAACACACGATAATATAGACTTTAACATTGATAATTTGCCTGGACCAGGTAAACACACGATAATGTAGACTTAAACGTCGGCCATTTACCTGGACCAGGTAAACACACGATAATGTAGACTTTAACATTGGCCGTTTACCTCAACGAAGTAAGCACGTGTAGAAATAGACCTTTGTACAAATGAGGCCAGGGGATGCTGAGCAGTCAAGATAACAATTAAATGGGTCAACATTTTAAGCTTTCAACTCAAGACTTTAACTCTTCTATTACATTAATGATTGATGTACACTATAAATATATATATCTATATCTGTGAAAATCGGAACTTGGCTATGATTCGAAATAATGAACAAACTGAATCAAAGACATCTCAATGATTAGGGACCATTCATTGGAAATTTCATTTATACAATAATAAAGCAAGACATAAAGAAAAAAAAATCATGTTATTAAGTGAAAACTCTATGATTTATCCTGACATGTCCAAGAAAGTACAATTGTCTGTGACCAAGACCCTGAATTGATAACTCCCCCCCCCCCGGACCCCAAATTGTTCTCCTCCAACAGGTACCGTTACAGCGGGCATGTCGGTTCTCTTCTGCTCCTACGTCCGTCCCAAGGGTACGTCCAAAGGTCACTGTGTCTGGGTCAATGTCGGCGTGGGCGTTGTCCAGTTCCTGCTGACCTTCATCTTCCTGATGGGCTGGATATGGAGCATCATGTGGGGCGTGGCTTTCATATCCATATCCAGTAGGTGCCTGCGTGCGTGTATCTGTTGTGTGGGGGAGTGGGGAGTGGGGACACTTCTAAAGTGTTTTCTTTTGACACTTCTAAAGTGTTTTCTTTTGACACTTCTAAAGTTTTTTCTTTTGACACTTCTAACGTGTTTTCTTTTGACACTTCTAACGTGTTTTCTTTTGACAGTTCTAACGTGTTTTCTTTTGACACTTCTAACGTGTTTTCTTTTGACACTTCTAACATGTTTTCTTTTAACACTTCTAACGTGTTTTCTTTTGACACTTCTAAAGTGTTTTCTTTTGACACTTCTAAAGTGTTTTCTTTTGACACTTCTAAAGTGTTTTCTTTTGACATTTCTAACGTGTTTTCTTCTGACACTTCTAAAGTGTTTTCTTTTGACACTTCTAAAGTGTTTTCTTTTGACACTTATAACGTGTTTTCTTTTGACACTTATAACGTGTTTTCTTTTGACACTTCTAAAGTGTTTTCTTGTAAGATGTTTCATCCGTGTATTTGTTTGTTTTTTTTTGTTTTTTTTTTGTTTGTTTTTTTTTTTTTTTTTTTTTTTTTTTTGTTTTTCAAAACTTTTCCCGTTATTTAAAGTTTTTATTTTTTTATTTTTTATTTTTTTTTTTTTTTTTTTTTTTTTTTTTTTTTTTTTTTTTTTTTTTTTTTTTTTTTTTTTTTTTTTTTTTTTTTTTTTTTTTTTTTTTTTTTTTTTTTTTTTTTTTTTTTTTTTGTTGTTTTTTTTGGCTTTACAAAACTATTCCCGCTATTTAAAGTGTTAATTCTTTAATTTTTTCATCTAAAAAAAATTTTAGTAGTTTTTTTAATTTCAAAATTCAATTTAATGTCTATTATTTCTTAGAAATGTTCATTGCAATGAGTCAAAGCTTTCAGCACGTACAGAGTTTATTGATCTCTTTATGGGGGCCAACCATAAATAACTTGACGCGTGGTGTGAGGGTAGGTGGTGGGAAGAAGTGGGGTGCGGATTATTAGGGAGGATGCCATTACCAGGGTGTTGTCACTTTTGACAAGTTTGCAGCGATAAGGAGAAGTGAGTGTCAAATATCGCCCAAAGAGCATGTCTTCATTTATGGATGGCCCCTATAGAATGCACCAACTAAATCTCTAAAAATGTTTATGGATGGCCCCTATAGAATGCACCAACTAAATCTCTAAAAATGTTTATGGATGGCCCCTATAGAATGCACCAACTAAATCTCTAAAAATGTTTATGGATGGCCCCTATAGAATGCATCAACTAAATCTCTAAAATGTTTATGGATGGCCCCTATAGAATGCATCAACTAAATCTCTAAAAATGTTTATGGATGGCCCCTATAGAATGCATCAACTAAATCTCTAAAATGTTTATGGATGGCCCCTATAGTAGGCACAAACTAAATCTCCAAGATGTTTTATATGCGTCCTTATTTGTGTTATGCACTGCTGTTTCCAGGGAGAAACTAACCTATAATTTTAAGTTTATGGCTCTTTCTAGGCAGTGCATAACAAAAGACGATACCACATAGGGAAAAACAATAGCAAAAGAATGTGACGTAAACACGTCGCCTACATAACAGCTTTATTGAATTAACTGTAGCTTTTTTTTTTTCCTCCAGAGGAATGCTACAGAGATCTGCAGCAGAGTGCAACCAGCGGTAACTCCGTGGACAAGGCGCGCCCCGGCATGGCCACCGAGACTCGACCTGTCAACAAAACAGTGGCCAGGCATCGCCAGGAAGCGCAGCACGACCACCGGCAAGGTCACGGACGTCAGGAGACCCAACACAACAACCGACAAGGCAATGTTCGCCATGACGCACACCACAAGCGGGAGGTCCATCGGACAGCTGAGCCCTCGGCAACTCACACCAGTTCCGATGCCCCTGGCGAATCGGGGAATAACACAAAGCTGCAACACGAAGCCGGGTCCACCACAGGCGGCAGCTGCAGCGCGAGCCACGAAGACAGCTGCAGCGCCAGCCACGAAGACAGCTGCAGCACCAGCCACGAAGATGGCGGCCACTCTAAGGACCGCACTAAACAGGGCAAGAACGGTTCTGGTATAGAAGAAGGCAATTTGACAGGCAAAGAACGGACGGGCTCCGGCTCTGACAACACCGCCCGCCAACAGGAAGTAGTGAGACCTTTGACCATCGTTTCCCCCGTCTACCCCCCTATATTAGCGCTGCAGACGTTAGCCCCCGAGCCCGGGTCCCAGCTGACCAGACCCCCTGCCCCCCACGAGACCATCATGAAGGCTGGGACGCGGCGTATGAAAATGCTGAAGCGGAAACTCAGCGACAATGACCTTTCACCTTTCGTGCTCACCCACCAGCAGCTGGAGGCCATCGTCATCCACGACCTCCCCGTCATCGCGTCGTCCTCTCACGAGGAGACGGATGAGGGCAGAGGGCTGCCGAAATCGTAGGGGGGCTTCTGACCGACAATGCCGAATGGTGCCTAATGCTGAAAATTAGAGGCTGCTGGATTTCCTCTTTCCACAGGCCCAGTGTTCTTGAAACGACTGCTGCTTCAGTGTCAGTGCCTGGGATAACTTCGTCGGGGTCATGACCCGTGTGACCTGGCCATTACTCAGTGTCATCATGTACTCGGGTGCTGATTTGTGCCATCTTCAGGACCTCCTGGTGTTTGGACTCTGAAAATACGCTTGCTTAACTATGATACATGTGAATTTTTGTGGTCATTTTGGTTGCTTGATTGATACACATTTTACGCCACACTGCACTTTGCTTTACTTAAACCCTTGAAAGTGAAAGCCAATTATGTATGAAAATATCATTTAATAAGATATGACAACTGTTGACATGTCAGTAACGAAGACATAAAAACTGGTTTTTAGAGAAACCATTAGACCAGGCCTGCACAACTCAAAATGTAAGGTGGGCTGTAATGCTTTATGAAAAACTTGTGCGGGCCAAAAGAAAATAGGACAGGATTTGTGCGGGCCAAAAGAAAATAGGACGAAGAGGGAGGGGGGGGAGCTATTTAGAAAATAATAAACATAAAGAGTATTTCATTACTTTGCGGGACACAAAGTGGGTGCTGGCGGGCCACATGCGGCCCATTGGTCGAATGTTGTGCAGGCCTGCATTAGGCCATTCTAACAGTTGCAACAGTCGATGAATTTTATCAGATAATTGAAATAGGTGCGCATAGTTAGCGTAAGTTCACACCATCAAATTCCTTTCCAATTAGCCTCAAATTTGGATCAAATTTTTGTATGAACACACTGTTTTGTGCCTGGTTTTTTTTTTTTTTTTTTTTTTTTTTTTTTTTTTTTTTTTCTTGTTTTTTTTTTTTTTTTTTTGTATAGTTTTTTTTTTTTTTGCGCATCAAATGTGTGAACGAAAATTTGAAAGGAATTTGATGGTGCGACCTGAGCCTTAGGTGGATGTTGTTAGGACAAATGACAAACTCTAAAAACATAGTGTGATTTTTTTTTTAATTTATAAAAATTCCATGTCATATATTTATTTAAAGAAATACTGGAGCCGTACCACCCCCCCTCCCCAACAAATTTTTAACGTAAAGATAACAAAATCATGAAATGTCAATGTTTGATCTGTCTGTGTTGCGATGACTTTATTTCACTCACTTTCACCATCACAAAGTTACGTTTTGAAAGCATTTTATTCCACCCTTTCCTCTAAGTTTTCCTTGCTCTGATTGGCTGGTCAACATTGCGGTCGCTATGTGACTTACCAAGGGTAATGTGGTTTGAAATGTGGAAACAAACCTGAATGATTCTGTTTTACACAAAAAGTTGCTGTGAACTAAGACGCTTTATTCTGTGTTTGTTTGTTTTTTTGTTTTAAACTTAGATGAGTTGATTGACGAAGTTAATCCTATCCACGTCTTTGGGTTTTTCGCGTAGTCTTAATTCACTCAGTGTTTAAAAACGTCAAGTGTGTAGTGGAACCGTTAAGTGTGTAGCAGAACCGTCAAGTGTGTAGTAGAACCGTCAAGTGTGTAGCAAAACCGCCAAGTGTGTAGCAGAACAATCAAGTGTGTAGTACATCGGTTCTCAGCCTGTGGGTCGCGACACAGAGGTCGCCTAAGATCATCTGAAAACACATATAAACTAAAGTTATAAAGTATAAACGAAATAATTCTGTGGTTGGGGGCTGGGGGTCGCCACAACATGAGGAACTGTATTAAATGGTCACGGCATTAGAAAGGTTGAGAACCACTGGTGTAGTAGAACCGTAAATCGTCAAATATAAATGATAAGATACTCAATGGCAGGAGCTGTGGGATTATGAAAAAAAAATAAACTTTTTAAAAAATCTGAAGTTCTTAAGCCAGTCGTCGGCGAAGTCATGGGGTAAATTACCCAAACTGTCATGGGGTAAATTACCCAAACTGTCATGGGGTAAAATACCCAAACTGTCATGTGGTAAATTACCCAAACTGTCATGGAGTAAATTACCCAAACTGTCATGGGGTAAATTACCCAAATTGTGGTAGAAATGAAAAAGCTTAGTGGCGGGGGGGGGGGAGAGAATGTGGGCCTAATAAAAGGGAATAATAAATTCCAAGCGTGTCTTTTTTATTAACAAAAAAAAAAAAAATTCCTGGCACGTGTAATTTAGACACGCACCCAAGACACTGTGGTAACAAGTTTACAAATGGCTTGGCAGCTACAGAAAACTCACCTCTCATAGCTCACCTCTGTAAGCTCACCTCTGTAAGCTCACCACTTTCAATATGAAATTCTTCCACATCGCAGGCTCGAACAAACAACACTGTGACCTTAGCGTCATAAACAATAGTTAAATGAAAACTATTTAAGACAACAGCAGGTCTTCTTTTTTTTCCACATTTAGTCTTAATCAATAGATTATTCAAGATTTGTGTAAGGGAACCGAAAAAAAAAGTAAATTTTGAGTCTCACAAATAAGCGTTATTTGACATCAAACCCTTGGTGGAAATGGTCACAAGTGCACCACATATCAGTATTCACCAGTGGTTCTAAATACGTTTGAGTTTGTATTTTTTTATATAAAAAACAATAGAATTTAATGATGTTATACCAACTTTGGTTGGACACCGCAAGAAAAAAAAAAAATCTCTGTTTCTTTAAAATCATTAGAATCTAATGTATTTTTTTATTTATTTTTTTTAAATTTTATTTGTGATCGTTCCATTCAAAAAAATTTTATAACAAAGAAAAATATTCCCTAAATGATTTTTTAATTTTTTAATGTGTCATTTCTTAACGTGGTAGTTGTGCCAATGGCAGGTGTCAAAGTTCATCAATTGTGTTAGATGCATCATGTCACGTGCTAATTTGTAATTTAAAAATTGAATGCTTCAACTTCAAGTCTAACTGATTCTTTCTTATAAATAAATTTTGGGTCTATTCTTAGCCAAATAGTCAGCATCAGAGGCGTAACGAAAGGGGTGGGGGGGTCAGAAGGACAGATGATCAACAAGCGCAAACTAGTTAGCTAGTTAGGGGCGCCACAATGTGCCGTGATATGATTTTATCAATGAAAATAATGGGTCTGAGAGTTGGAAGAAAGAACACTTTAGTTACGCCTCTGGTCTGCAAAGCTGTACAACGGACACCCGCGACATGTACAGCTGAAACATCTGGACATGTACAGCTGACACATCTGGACATGTACAGCTGACACATCTTGACATGTACAACTGACACATCTGGACATGTACAACTGACACATCTGGACATGTACAGCTGACACATCTGGACATATACAGCTGACACACCTGGTTATGTACAACTGACACATCTGAACATGTACAGCTGACACATCTGGACATGTACAGCTGACACATCTGGACATGTGCAGCTGACACATCTGAACATGTACAGCTGACACATCTGGACATCTACAACTGACACCCGTGAAATGTACAACTGACACGTTTGGGCCAATACAAATGACACATCTGGACATGCTGACACATGTTTACAAAATAACATGGACAGAATAAAAATAAAAACAAAACAAGCTGTTAAATTACTTTTATTGAGATATATTCCAGGTCTGTCTGTCTGTCTGTACGTCTGTCTGTCTGTCAGTGACGTGTGCCACAGCTACCATATTTGTTTACATGGCGGCCTTTCACATCATACACCAAGAGGCGTGCAGTTGTTTACATGGCGCCCCTTCACATCATACACCAAGAGGCGTGCAGTAGTTTACATGGCAGCCCTTCACAGCATACACCAATAGGCGTGCAGTTGTTTACATGGCGCCCCTTCACATCATACACCAAGAGGCGTGCAGTTGTTTACATGGCGCCCCTTCACATCATACACCAAGAGGCGTGCAGTAGTGGACATCTGTACCAGCTGGACAGAGATTCGTAAAGCTTTGTCAACACAAATCACTGTAATGCCCCGGTTCCTCGCAGTAGCGTTGTAAGCCCTCGACGACGTGGGTAACTGAGGCTCTTAACGACTGTGCCAAGAGACTTCATTCACAATATGGCGGCTTGGATTCCATGACTATGTTACCCGTGGGAAGCTGCCCACTTTCCTTATCCTAAAAGAAGACCCTGCTCACAAGTGCCCAATTTCCTTATCCCAAAAGACGGCCCTGCTCACAATTTCCCAATTTCCTTATCCCAAAAGACGGCCCTGCTCACAATTGCCCAATTTCCTTATCACAAAAGACGGCCCTGCTCACAATTGCCCAATTTCCTTATCCCAAAAGACGGCCCTGCTCACAATTGCCCAATTTCCTTATCCCAAAAGACGGCCCTGCTCACAATTGCCCAATTTCCTTATCCCAAAAGACGGCCCTGCTCACAATTGCCCAATTTCCTTATCCCAAAAGACGGCCCTGCTCACAATTGCCCAATTTCCTTATCCCAAAAGACGGCCCTGCTCACAATTGCCCAATTTCCTTATCCCAAAAGACGGCCCTGCTCACAATTGCTCAATTTCCTTATCACAAAAGACGACACTGCTCACAGTGTCCTCATGAAGGTGATATAATATATGAATTGATTAAACTTGACTCAACAGTTCTTGTTGCCGAGGTTACTGATACTTGAGTTGACTCAGTTGGACACAAGAGCTATCAAAGATATAACACTTATGCACCAGATGAATACCTTGGTTACCTCAAAAGTCTCAACAGTTACAGGTTGCCATGGCTACTTGAGAATTTCAATGGTTTCGAATCCCCATGGTTGCTCTAAATGTTCAACACTGACAAGTTGCCATGGTGACTTTAGACGTTCCAAAGCTTCGTGTGTGCTGCGCACAGTGGTCCTCCCACGGCTTCTGACAACCCCCAACGGTGGTGTCTTTACCAAGGCAAAATAAGTAAGTTCCTGGAAATCAAGCATTCGTGACGTCATTGCTTGTTTAACCTGAAGTCATTTTATTTAAGAATTTACTCCAAATGGCAAATTGGCATCTAAATGTGTTATATCAGTGCGGCAGCTCACTACAGCAGCTCACTACAGCAGCTCACTACAGCTCACTTCACTGAGCTCCAGTGAAGATAAAGATAGATGCACTGAGCTACACATGTGAAAACGTGGCACACCTTGCAGTGTCACATAGATAAAATGTCTTAAACAAGTCTGACATATTTGATACAGCATGTTCTTGCTGTGACATCTTTGATACTGCATGTCCTGTCTATGACATATTCGATACTGCATATCCTGGGTGTGACAGATTTGATACTGCATGTCCTGGTTGTGACATCTTTGATACTGCATGTCCTGGGTGTGACATCTTTGATACTGCATGTCCTGGCTACGAGATGACCCACATTAACATAGACCAGTGTCCAGTCAGGGATAACACTTAATAAAATTATTTACTCTGGATGCTTACAATTGATGGTTTACAATAGTTGATGGTTTACAGATATATCTTAAAATAATGATATATAATAATACGAGTATCTTCTACACATTACACAATAATATGAGCACATACTGTTTGTAAAATAATCGAAATAAAAGGCACCTAAAAAGTCAAATACATTGAATGCAAAACCCGCAAACAGTCCATAAACAGCCCAGAAACAGTCCATAAACAGCCCACAGACAGCCTTTAAAGTGGCTGAAATAAAAATAAATATATTGACCGTTTGACCAAGTGTGTGAAGTCTACAAGCACACGACACACCAACCAACACGTTCGGGAGGAAATAATTTAAAAATGGCGCCACTCACTTATGTTCACAGTCATTTAAACCATGACCAGACGTCTGTCAGTCCGTCGTGCGAGCATTGCCTTCACAGGGTCAG